CCCCAAAACCCCAAAACCCCAAAACCCCAAAACCCCAAAACCCCAAAACCCCAAATATTTGCTCAACTATTTGCATAAATTTTAATCGAATAAAAATGTCACACGAACCTAAATCTAGGAATCAAAAGAATGGTAATTGCTATTTCCTTTAATAGAAATCATTAAGAAGTTCTTCTGTTTCTTTAGAATTTAGGTAAAAATTTGTGAGGTTCCTATTCAGCTTTCTTATTATCATAATTACCCAGAATAGGCTATTACTCACAAGTAAAGACCATTATCAGTAAGTGAGAATTTTAACAATCAGGTACACCCCTTCCATTTGAGGTCAGGAAGAAAATGATGAACGCGAATGGATACAACAGATTTGGAGAGATACTTAACCCACAGAACTCCAGGTGGAAAATCAGAGATCGTGATAATCTCACAACTCATGATATCGAAGGAGCCGTCCCTGATACTTATGGGAAATTAAGCGAGCTAAAAGGAAGGGACTACATCAATATTGGAGATATCAAAGGCACTCAGTCTGCATATAAAATTGATAAATTCACAAATAAATCTCACTTTAATCTACAAACGAAAGATGTCACCGAAGAAGGAAAGAAGCGCTTTGTTAAGAATTATAGTCCTCTAGAGCCTAGTTATGTGATGTACTCTAAAAGTAGGAGAAGGAGGATGGTTATTCAAGATGATGAAACCTCTAAGCCTAGGAAGTTAATCACTCCTAAGACTAGGAGAAAGGACAATAGAATTGATGATATTGAAGGAGCTCAACCTAAGAAACTTACTTGGGTACGTAAAATCTTAAACCCAGCTGACAATGAAACAGAGCTGAATACCGGTTTACCGATGAATAATAACCTTAGTTCAAATAATATCTCAAATTTGGCAATGAAGGGAAGGAATATCACTCATGACTCTCCACATCAATCTTGAAAGAAAGTTCTCACTAGAGTAGACTCCTGTACTCAAAGAGCATCTCCTCATAGAAAGGAGCAAAGGCATAATAGGACAGAAAATAACTCCATAATTATTGATAAGAAAGTAAGAGATTGGAAATCAGAAAAGAAAAGACATGCTGTGACAGGAAGGAACTCTAATTCTCCATCAAGAGACAGAAAGCTCCAAACCCCTTCTCTCCCTAACCTTGCTGTTCCTAGAAGTAGGAGGGACCTTCCAGAGATTGATCAGAAGTGGAGCAAAAGCAAGAAATACTCTAATTTAGAGCTTAATAGCAACTCTGAAGCGAAGTTATCGGCAAACAATGGGTAAGCATAGTCTTGAATCCTCTTTAGCAAAATATCCACAAAAGGTTATAACCAGGATTCAAGATCATACAGGAAGATTGCTAAATCAAGGAATGCAAATCATACAATCGAGCAATCTATTAGTGAAGGTCATGTGAGAGTCACTAATTTTCTTGAAAAGAGTATGATAACTACAATAAGAGTATAGACAGGAACCAAAATCATAGCCTGAATGTTGATAAACGTATATCAAATAGTAGATGTTCTCCATTGAAAGTAACCGTGCTTTGATAAAATTTAGAACCCTGATGGGCAAGGATACTATGAGGGTACTAACTTCCTATAACTCTTTAGGATTTCTCAAAGCTCACCTTCAGAGTGAACATCCTTATATGAACTTCTTAAAGAAAAGCAATTACCAAAATTCCTCAGTTGAGCCAAAAATCAACTCTCTAAGAAACAAAGGTAAAAATAAGCACACAAGGAAGCTCCCAGGTAAAGTAAAAGGATCAAAAACTAATGTATGTTCTTCTTTGAAACTTTAGATGATCGTGACCAAAGAGAAAGAACTTGATAATTACATTAAACTTAAAATGAGACAAGGATATATGAACGCTAATCCCCTTCAGCCTCCGAAACTAAAGAATACAGGAAGTTTGCCATACTTCTAAAAAGGAAATTCAGGGAGCTAGATGGTTAACATACCCTAAGGGACTTAGGCTTAAGTTATTTTTTGATGGCCAAGGGTATCCCTCGAGAGCTTGCCTCTCACTGTACTCTCTAGCTCAGCTGCAATGCTAAAACTTCTCCTAGCATTTCAAGTACTACCTACCAAAGCGGGGTTTTGGGGTTTTGGGGTTTTGGGGG